TACATTGCCGCGTCGCTTGTTGAGGCAAATCGAATCAAATGTCCAAACGGAATCGGACAGCCGTTAACAGGGAGACATCGCCGATAGCGTGGACCTGTCGTTTGATGCTACCTTTTTTTTCTTCATTGTATGCAAATTAGCTCCTGCCAGTCGTTAATCGCAGGTGCGACCCGGAGCGCGTTGCGACAGAGGCATAACGCTCGGAGAAGACACGCGATTTCGTAATTTCGATTTCTTACCTTTTCAGATCATCGATGTATAAACGTGAACTATCGGGTATCTTCTCCTACATATACATATATATATCAAGATATATATATAACAGGTAACTTGGTAACAGCAAAAAAATGTCTTCATCTGTTGAATTATTTATGCAGAATTAATTGAATTTAAATATACGAAGACGCTCCGCCGATGACACATTCAAAAGATAAAAATATATCTGGTTATTAATTCGACAACAATTTCTTTTAAGCGAAGATCGAAGGAGATTAAATTTAATAGTGTATTCTTAGAATGTATTTTATAAATATTTTTGCAATTAAACTGTATCTTTTAAGATTCCATTAAAATTCGTTTAAAATTGACTTTAGAAGATACCATCGAGTGTTGTCATTTATTTTTTCAAATTCAATAACTATTAAATTTAATAGTTATTTGATTGTCATTTGTGTCTTCCTGTAACATGTTAAAAGTTTCTTCGTTAATTACAAAAATTATAAGCGGTTCAACATTTGGGGAATTTCAAGGGCAGCCCGCTAAATCGGTGAAAGAATCTGTAAAGAGGACATTGGGTATTTCCAGGACGGGTCGTATCTCTTTATGGACCGTCGACGAAAATGGACGCAAATGTCTTCGTCATACTTTTGATTTACCGGTGAGAACAAACGAACAGGATTTAGAAGAGTCTCGGTATGCTAATGGTTACGTCCTAGCGTCGCTCTCCACTTTGGAGTTATGCTAACCGTTACGTGATATCACGTGACGGACAGCTTTCATAATCGATAGCGATCCATCTGTTGGCAGGTCCACAGGCATGCATCTTCATCGGCATGTTAACGCAAAGTCAACGCGCGTTCTGTACGTGCATGGCAAATCAAGCGTTGCATGTGCGGAAGGCATTATCGATCGCGCGATAATTGAAAGGCTTTTGCGCGAATCACGCGCTCATGAATGAAAATCTTTCGCTATTCGATGACGACATCGCGGGACGACTTGACTCTTGACGCGGCGGCGACGCCCGCCGACGATGGACCGCTTTCACATCCAGCATCTTCAGCCGTCGTTACCCCAATTTTCCCGCCCAGGCGGCTCCGTTCGTTTACCGCGTGTGTTCGCGCGCGCGTGAAAGTTACAAGTATTCCGAAAATATGCGTTAAAAACTTCACGTTGTATGAATCACTATTACGCGCTCGTTAGCGCCCGCTTCGTCGTTCGCATCGTTCGCTTTTTACTCCACTGCACTCGAGTGATTTTTCGCAATTAAACGTCGCGTTTATTAGGCAGTAATTATTAGCGTATAGAGTGGAAAATACGCCGGGTGAACCCACAATGGTAATGGGCATTAGGCATAGTTGTAGGCTGGAGAACCGTTTAGCGCGTTCACGCTGGTTGCTCGCGCGCTCCTTTTTTTTCTGCCAATTCGTGATTTTCCTGCGGCGTTAGCCTTGACGTCGGTTACACTCGCGGGAGACCTGTAGTAAAAGTCAGATGCAGTGAACTTGCCTATTGCCGCTACGGCTAGTTATCCAGGAATGTAATTAGCGGGGGATATGTATACGTGCACGAGCACATGGAAATAGCCAGACACGCATGGACACGCATTAAACACGCTCATTGCTCAATGTTGCATATCCTCACCGCAAATCCAAGTGTATAAAAAGTGCTCTAAAAAAAAAGAACACCGCATAATGCTGCATAAATAATTATATGAATTTACGCGGTTAAATGTTATTTTTTTCCACAAAAAACTAAATCTCATAATCTACATAAATGAGGAAGTTTTTATACACATTTGAATTTATAAAGTGCACTAAAAAAAACGCTATATCTGCCTAATTATATGAATTTACTAGTTTAAATATATTAAATTTTTTACACAAAAAACTAAATTACACACACACAAACACATATAGGTATGTAATAAATGAAGCACTTTTTACACATTTGAATTTGTAATGCTGACGAAAAAAAGGCGACTAAATTGTTTTAAATGAAACGTGAAACATCGATACAACATCATGAGATTATCATAAAATATTGATGGAGATATTCATTATATACATGTATCGATACACGGAGAGAATTTTTTTTAATTTACCCTGCAAATCATGTTAATTGCGGGATCATGTTAATTGGGGGACAATATAATATTTAGACAAATTTTAATTTGCACTAATATAATAAGTATTTTATAGTAAAATTTATTTTAGTGCACAGTAAAATTTGCCTAAATACTATATTGTCCCACAATTAACATGATTTGCAGGGTAAATTTAAAAAAAAATTCACTCCATATACATTTACGTTAAACATGAAATTTATATCGATTTATATCTATAATATTTAAATAATACGTAAGATTATGTACAAAATTACGAGTAGACCTTTTATGTGTATTTTATTTATGCATATGGCAGCAGACACTATTGGATAGAATGTGAGTCTGCGACCTGCTGAACTTAACATTATTTAGAAGTCATCTTGGCATAAGCGAAAGGATTCGATTTCCGGTCGTGTTTAATTCGATTACTTGTGCCGGTCATGTTTAATTCGATTACTTACATTCAATATTTTTTTCTTATTTATAATTATAATGTAGTATTTATATATTTTAAAAGTATAACGATTGAGAGAGAGAGAAAGGAGGGAGAAAAAAGGGAGAGAAAAAGAGAGATTATAGGCTGCATTCTGGCGCGAGCACAAGTGCCATAAAAAAAGTTGCTTTCCAGGGTCAAACGAGTTACTACGCAAACGGGTTAACGACACGCATTGTTTTTGCGGGATTGAAAGGCCGCAATAAAAAACGGTGCCTCGCATTATATCGTTATTGCGATACGCCGCGCTCGCTCAGGAAATCAATGCAACGTAGAACAACTAATTATTTTCAGGTTCTTGTAGGCCAAATTCACAAGGTTGCCTATCGCCGGCAGGTGCATTACGGTATACATGGCGCATATTTCTGCACGGCTTGCGAATGTTATTTGCCTGTCGCGGCCTCGATTAGTTCGCTGACAAATTAAACGTTGCACCGCGCGAGTATTTGCTTATGCTATAAGAAAACAAAATTTTTCCATTCAAGTACGATTATTTCTTAGTTTCATCATTATCTTTGAATACGCTTAAATTATGCCTTAATTTGAAATTCAAATTTCAGATTAATTCTGGTATGCCAAAAATTTCCATATTCTCGTATGGATGGTCTGTTAAATATAACGGATCATCCATACATATATGTATATTCATATGGATGATTTGTCGAATGCAACAGATTAAACTAATTAAAATTTTTTTTACATTACGTTACGTTGTATTTTTACGATAGAATTTCTCCTGTTTATTCGGTATGCATGCGTGTAAATGATCGAATGTGATCGCGTAACAAATTATGAAATTGAAAAGAAGAGATTATCTCAATTACATAAAAGATTTTCGATATAGAATGTAGCTATACGTGTAGTCACGCCGATGACACGCTGCACGCTAAGAAATCATGGAACATCGATCGCGAGATTCGATGACGAAAGGGGACATCGTTGTGTACAGAGCGAAAGAATGCAGTCGTTCCTTCGAACGAGTCGCTGGAAAACAGCGAGGTGTTGGTAAGCACCTGCATCATGCGTGCCACCGCTACAAAAAGAGCCACAGAGAAAAATAGGCTCGGTCAATAACTCTTTATGCAAATAAATTCGCGCTCGAATTGCGTGTCAAATTCCGTGAGTGTGAATAATGCGTGAAAAATGATATAATGCATGCGTTTGAAACATTTTGAAAAGTGTCGTTGGAAAAATGTGAAGTCAATCAAGCGTCTGATATACAACATTTATCAGACGTCTTTCTATTCGGCTGAGTACGTATCACCATCTTAAATATTTGTCTTTAAACATCCAAAACTTATCACATCAGGTGTTAATTGGGCAACGTTTCCCTCTATACCTCTTTTTTTTCCAAGATTGATTAGCGGTGTTTTCTTCGGGATGTATTTATAATCTTTAAAACTCGTCAGAAAGAGAAATATGAATGGATGGTGGACAGTTATCAGCTTCTCGCGAAACACGTAATGAGGAATCTTAATTAACGCGCTCTTTTTCGAGCGGTAAGAACTATGACGCCGGCAACGGACGTGTTGCAAGAGTAGTAGTTGCTCAAATAGGGTCAGACCGGCGACAGTAGTAAATCATGCGTTGCGTCGGACATGTATCCGAGAGAGAAATATCTCTACTCGCACTAACACGCAGTATACATTGCGCGGTAAATAATTATACTGAGAACTACGACATTTACTACCGTCACACTTATCATTTTATCTTGTCGAATGATTTATTTAATACGACATTTTTCACGACGATTTGAAACAATCTTTTTGATTGATGTTAAAAATGTTAATGACAGCAGGTCATAGCATCATAAATACTGGCATCTGCACTTTAATATTTTTAATTTCTTTTCGGATATTTTTTTGCTAAGCCTGTTTCGGTTTTTTATTAAATAAAAAATTTTAAATATATAATATTGACATATACATTAAAGAACACTCCTTTTCCTCTTTTAGAATTTAAATAATTAGCTAAATAAGGTATATATTACCACAATTAGAAAGGTTTATGATATATTCAAGGCGCTAAAAATATTCATTTCGATGACCGCGACGTTTGAAACTTGAACGGTAATAGTAAATATTTGTTCCGATGATAGTGCGCAGTTAATTCTGATGGCATAATATAAGTTTATGGTCAATATTTGACGTAATACAGAACTTTCTTTTTTTCTTCCATTTGCAGAACAAAACGAACACGCGGGACAGCAGGATAGGTCTCGCGAGGGCAACGAGCACTATGCAAACGCAGATGCCTGGATCTTTGCCCGATTACCAAATCGATCCTTATAGACTCGTAGAAGATGATCTTAAGGATATATTCGACGATATACAAGTGGTAAGTCTTTTTCTACTTTGATTTCATTAGAAAGTAGGATCTACGCTTCCAGCTTGTTTCTTTTTCTTCTTTTTGGAGAAGTTAAACCTGATAAAGTGATAAATAAAGTGGCAATATCTTGGCCACATTCTCTATCGTATTTGTCGACAGATTTTGAAAATGAAAATTAGTTTAATCATTTTAAAATTCCGAACAATCCGTAGAAGATCAGAATTCTTCCAAATTCTCACGAATATTGGCAACCGTAATAATTACGTAAAATCGAACAATTGCGTGTGCTGTTAGCCACGAAGAGCAATATGGGAATTAGTTACATAAAAGAAATCGAAGGCTATTAATCCTCATTCCTATACGAGGAGGCGATTGTCATTCACATGGATAGCCTCGAGAAACTTTCGGGAAGTAACAGCACACCGCCTTAGCAGCTATTTATGTAATTGACTTCATCGATATTACGTACGCTGGACTATTGTGAAATTGTGCCGGCCAACCTAAGACGAGTCCAGTGGTGCGGTAAAAAAAACGCATGTATAAAAAAGAAGTAATTAGATAAGATTGCGTAAACGAGTCGCTTTGACTTTGCATGACAGTCCCGTTAATACTTCCATTAATCCAGAGTGAAGTCGTGCACGCGATATTTTTCCTAATTCTGATAATCTGTCTGTCTCAGAATTACCTTAAGGCAGTCTTCCATTTTTAGTTTTAATTTCTAATTAAATATATATGTACATTACTTATTTTTCTCTCCAATTTTTCAAATCGATGTATGACATATCGTTTCTCACAATAATTTATCTAACTGGGAATTTATTTTTAAAAGTAATATTATTTCTTCAGAAAGAAATATTTTTTCAAATCTGAAAAATTTAGATTTTATAGAATAGAAATAGTTGTTTACCTTTTAACGTACTTTTTTCTTTTGTTATTTAATATTTATTACAATTTGATTCGGTCGTAAAATTTTGTTTAAAGTTTTAATTATGTTAAATTCAACTTTTTAAATAAGTTTTCAATTCTAAAGTCACGCGCGTGGCAGTTTATGTATATTTTGCTATTCCCAATCAGTAGATTGACGCAGCTCGGACATTTTCATTTCTTCAGTGACAAGAACAATCGTCAAGAAGCGCGTTTATAAATATTGATGAAGAGCCGTGCAATTTTCACGCGGCGGCGCCTCTGCTTAAGGCGCCCCGGCCCGCAAGCGAAAGCAGCTCGACTTCACGGTCTGCATATGGTCGAGAGGAGAACTTTTACTCACAAACGCGCCGTTCGCGTATATACGTCAAACGGTGTGAAATTCGCGCAATCTATAGAAGACGATACTATTCCTATATAGGCGGTTGTCGTTTACTATATACGCGCAGAAATTTCGCGATCTTACCGTTTCAACACAAACGGATCATTAACGGTTCTTAATTATCAAAATTGTGCCTCAAGATAAAGAAACAATTTGACAAATTGTCGGGCATTAGCGGACGTTGACGAAACAAAAGAAATTGCCTTCAACGAACCGTCGTAACTTCCAACGTTGGTTCTCGTCACTTGATTTGAGGAAAGTTAGAGAAATCGACTATTAGTATCGCGGGCGCAGCGGTAACGATACCCGAGCGATATCGAACCTCCTCCCGGGTTCGCCGCCTGCATCGGCTTCCGGTCGCGTGAGTCCGCGCCAAGAGCGGACGCCACGCCGCGCCGATGCAAGCACTTCGTCGAAATCGAGAGGCGTTGCGGAACGGTAGCACGGTTCTTTTCGGCTTTGGCCAAATTCCAGCAGGGACTTTCAATCGATGATCGCACCTGGAATCCCAAGCAGCTCGTCTCGATCGACGCCTGTCCCCTTTCGTCGTTTATTGCAACGGAGACAGTTGTCTCCGACGCATATTTAATCCGCGATCGCGCGGAGACGAGTCCCGATACTATCGAAAGGACGAGAGCAGCAAGTTTCTCTTCTGGTTACGCACTTCGTCTGACAAATAATTTTCAAGTTATAACATCGAAAAAAGGCGGGACGGGGATTCGGCGGATCAGAAGAGCGTGAGGAATTCGCAAAAATTTAATCAGCTAATTTGAGGAGAGTTTTACTTTAAAGAGCTAATGTATCTTTGCAATGATAATCAGTTTGTATATGAAGACACACTAAAATAAATTATATTATATAAATTGTATTTTTACGAGTTTCTCTCGCGAGCTATTAAACTTCATATTAAAACTCTACCAATGTTACAAGACGAAATCTTTGTGCTTGTACTTTTTTACTTTATCCTGTATAATATAAATCTACATCGATATTCGCGCGGCCATTGATTTTAATTTGTATTTTACGCGAATCCTTCAGTTAATTCAGAGGTATGTGTGTATTGTTATTTCAGGAACTTATCAACAGCACCGCGGAAAAAAAGCTGCAACCTATAAGCACATACTATTTCGATGGCCAGGGGAAAGCGGTGCGGCCCATGTTCACCGTACTCATGGCACGAGCTATTAATTATCACAATGGGAGGAAGTAAGTGGTGACGCGTTTCTACACACAAACATTTTTGATATTTATTCAAGGAGATTTGACTACGACATTCATAAATTGTACGTTCGCGGGAGCTATAGATTTCTAACCAAATCGCAAAAACGTAATCCTCTGCTTCTCTTGAGTTAGAAAAACGTTAAATTTTTTTGAAAAATCAGAGAACTATATACAAGAAAAAGCATTGCTTTGGCGATGCATTTGAATAATTAAAAATGAAAAAATTGAAATAAATATATAAAACGGCTAAGGTACTTACAGTCTCTGCTTCTATTCATTTAGCGAATAGTCAAGAATCGATTTTTTAATTGAGACTTTGAAGAAACGTTAGAAAATTTGTGATTATGGCAGCACGTGAGAGAGTCGAATCTTTTTTTTTATTATCGCCACGCGCGCGCCGCACGGTGAATCTCCGCGCGTATGAAAACGTATGCTCACGACGTTTAGAAAGCATTAAAAGTGTCGACAAAGTGGTACGTTAGAGATATCTATGAAAGCGGCGGCCGCGCCGCGTCTCTTGTACAAGCATACCTACTACGTATATGCATGCATATGAATGGGGAGACGTGAATGAGGAGCGCGCGTTAACGCGTGTCGTAACGTCGTGTCAGACTATTTTAGGCGTGATTCCATTACGGATCGAACTTTGTTGCGTATCGATAGTTAAAGATTAGTTAAGACACTCGAGATACTCCTCCCCAAGTGAAAGCGAATCAAGTTCACGATTTGTCAAAGTCTATTTCAAACGTGTAAAGGCGCTGGAATTATTAGACTGAAACAAATGGTTTAACTGTTTATCTTCTTCTTGTTTATCTTAAACAGGATAATTTTCCACGCTGAATTTATTGGTGAAGTGATGCCCGAAGGAATTTCTCATTAAGAACTTTAAGCGCTACTGGAGGACTTTAAAATTGATTAAAAAATTAAAAAAAATTCTAAACTAAAGTATATGTATATACTTTTAGTCTAATAATTTTAGCTTGTATAAGTTATGGATCCGTATTATGGATTTTTAATTAAACAATTTAAAAGATATTCGAAAAAATGTCGCAAGTCTCAATTTTAATATGGACATTAATTTGAAAAATCATTTAATAACTTTAACTTTGCTTGCATGTTTTTATCGCTATGAAACTTATGAAAGATATATAAGTAATTATTATAAATAAGTAATTAATTTGTAAAAAATTATTCACAATTAAAATTAATTTATGCAATCGCGATAAATAATTGTACGAATGATTTATTTTATAACAGAGAGACTTTTTCTTTTTTCAGTGTTCTCTTGCACTCGCAGCGACAAATAGCGATGATCGCTGAGATGATCCATAGTGCTTCTTTATTGCACGACGATGTGATCGACCAGTCAGACTTCCGTCGTGGCAAGCCATCAGTTAATGTCGTTTGGAGTCAAAAGGAGGTAAGTTGCATTCTAATTTCCGATTCGCAAACATGATCGACATGGTTCTTCACACGTCACATCTATCGATATCTCGAAACTGTTCTGTCTTATTTCGTTCATGCAAAAAATATGGAAAATGTAAAATATAAAAATACACATTCAGATATATAAATATATATAAAAAGTAAAAAAAAGATACTTTGTATTGAAAAATCGTATTGAAAGTGACCATTGCGACGGTGGTTAGCGATGCGACGACGCTGGAAACTCAAACTCTCTCTCTAAAATAGTGAAGGAAGAAAGAGGCTAATGCGATTCATGACCAAGCGGCGGCCTTTGCTTTCTAGATTGGGAACCGGAAGCGGATCTTGCGCGTCGCGCGCGTGTCGTTGTTGTAAATGTGAAAAATTCGGTAGCGCCAAGGACACCAAGGAATAGAATATAGGAAAATTGAATCGAGCATTATCCGGCAGGGTAAACTAAACGCTGTAAAACTATTTCGAAAGCGGCCGCTGTTCAATCAAACTCGCTGAAGTTACATGTATTAGAAATCGACAGTTGGAACGCGACGCGGTGGGCGACACACGCGGTGACGCGAACGAAAAACTCAACTCTCAAATGCACGATTAACATACGACGTATTACTTATACTTTCGCAATCGCTCGAATTTCATTCGCGCGCTTTTCCATAGCTAGCTGCGAGACATATTTCCAAGCATATTTATTAATTAGCTTTCGATCGGCGTCGCGAATGATTGAGCTGCATTTACTATCGACATTACACAAGTGCGTATGTGCACTGGTAAGTGAAATGAAAGCGCGATGGAACAGTGCTAGGTCAAGAACGCGCGAGGCTATTGACTAGCGATCGTTACTTTCTTCCTCCCTTCTACTACTCGTGTACGAAGTGCCTTAAAAAGTTCTTTTCGAAAGAGCTACGATTTCTTTGTGGGAATGTAGCGCGAGATTTTTTTCTTTTTAAGATTGGTCTCTCTGTTTAATGAAGAAAAATCTGTTGATTTAAATTAAATTACTTTTATATAACTATGTTTTTTTCGTTCGTTTGTTCGAAGTGTTAACTTATAATTCCTTGAAAAAAATTTGAAATTACTTAAAAAGAAAATCGTATTTAAATTTTTATTAAATTCAAATGAGAATTCTCCGAATAAAATTTATTTCTTAAAAATTTTAAATTTATTAATGCAACACTATTGCATTGCATTATGTAAAAGAATGTAATTTACGATATACGTTCTGTAAACAGCGTCACACGAAGCTAGGGTATTGAAGCTTCACTTCCCATTCTTCTGCTCATATGTCTTATCTTGGATCGTCGATCTTGCAACATTACAATTTTGTAATGAAACTTGTCGCCTTAATGTCTCTAACTCGATGCGTTTGTATATTGTAGATACGTGTCGCGCGATAAATGTGAATCGTCGCCGTATGTAAGCTGCTGTTGTGAAATGCAACACGACAGCTTACGACTGCGAGCATTTATGATAAAGGCCAAACTATATTTCTGCAGAAGTTCCCAGGCACTCCTTAGCTTTCACGTGGAACATAAGCGCATAATCGTGAGACGAGAGGCAGGATCCGTTTTACGATCGCGTAAGAAAATTGAGGTCAAGGGCTTACGAAAATAGCGCGTTCTTGTAATTCCTTTGCAATTCGTCGGCACCTGTTGTTAGGGACAGGCGCATCGAGAGGTACTGTGAAACATCGAATCAAGTTGGGCGGAGGAGTAAAAATCGGTGAATGTAAACATTTATGACGCGATGCAATTTGCATGACGGATTCTTATGAATAGCGCGCGCAAATATTACGAGGAAGCTTCAAAAGTGTTACAACCTTGACGTACGATGGAATTAACGCTGTTCAGAGGAATGGAAAGCCCAACGGCGGTGGTCACGAAAGTTCCGACGTTTTTTTTTTTGTTGCATCGGGGATTCGCTGCGCGAGGACGGCGCAGATGTTTGAACCGGTGAATTGTGTAACAGGCTCTCGCACATTAACGTACTGCTAATCGCGAGAACTCTTGCTGCAGTAAATATAATAATTATCTTCGAGTTACACCTACCAGTAATAGGGTTACGTGATGAAGTGGCTTGAATGTAAGCCATTGAGTCAGGTGCGAAATTCGAAAATAAACGACTGCAAATCAGAATATGTTTGAAAGAGATAAAATCGTGACATGCGAGGTCTTTTTCGCCTGGCATTGCTGACGTTAATTACTGGAAGTAATATTATTATTAATACATCTTTAAAAAGATATATTAATATAATAGATTGAAAGAATATTTTATTCTCTGTTTTGGACATATTTTATATGATTTATTATCCTTAATATTCGTAAATATACACGTTGTGCAAACGACTTTTGAAGTGCGCGATGATGCTTACTTTCGATTCTTCATCTCGTTAAACCCCACAGCGAATATTCTACAACAATACCGTAATACGATTGTAAGTTGTCTCAAGAGAGATAACATTAGCCGGAATTAATGAGTCTTGCAGGTGGACCACTGCTTTTCAGCACTGATTCATGTTTCTTTAGCGGAACCGTCGGCCACGTTGTGTAATTGCAAGGAAAGTGTTGCCGGCGCACGAAACGCGCGTGCTATTCCCGGAGGGAAAACCCTAACCAGGTGTCTTTCGGTTACCGCGGCTAAGATGCGTGAAAATAAGGCAGCGCATCTCCGATGCCGGATGTGAAACTCGAAATTACGAGCCGTTTGTTGAGTCACTCATCGGCTTAGGCGTTGTCACACGAAACAATCTACTGTCAGTCGCTCTACCCGGTCAAAACATTGTCGAAGATGAAGATCCGGAAGATTCTTATCGCGCCTCTCCGTACAAATGTTCCGGAATTATCGCGGACGCGAAACCTTTTCGTGCAGATTCTTTAATCTATTCGAAATAAATTTGTTCAAACCGTAAATTAACAGCCAAATAAATAATGAGCTTATATATTTACTAAAAAATAGTTTAATCATGCTCAACTATGAAATAGCAAAAACTTTTAGAGAAATTCTACTGAAATTCTACGGTGTCGGAAGTTTTTGAAAATATTTATCGCAAACCTTGCCAAAGTTAAAATACAGTGTTGAAATTTTAGGCAAGCCATGAAGATCAGTTAAAGACTTGCGTTTAGAGAGTGGGCCATTTATTACGCTGTCGCGTCAGGTAATAGTGTAAAGTGTCCTTGTTTTATAAATTTTGATAAATATAAAATGACATAAATAGCGCTGATATATATAGGATATTCCTCGAACGCAGTTAAAGTTGGACAAAACGAAAAAATAAAAAGTAATTTTAAAATCAAGGTACAATAATATCTAAAATGTATCTTGATTTTAGAATTCGATGTGTGAGGAAATTTAGAAATCAACGCGCGCGACATAGTAATTGCCGCGGTCATTAAGAGCCGTCGAGATGTTGCGGTTTCGGCGCGTCGCACGTTATAAGCGCGATGTGTTCATCAACAATTTCACATCAACTACTGACCGCAGAGTGATAGACCGAATGTGTAGGTACACCTAATGCGAAACTTCGTTCAGCATTGTCTCTGATCTATCGTAACATAAAATTTCTAACATTATATCGATTTGAATCTCAATCGCTTTCCATTCAGCACCTCACGTCTATCTGAGGTGCTTTTTTAGGTTCAACAAGCAAAATAAGATATATCGTTTTAATAGGAGTAAATAGCAACCGATATGTGTATTTAATATAGAATAAATTAATATTGACATTTTCGAGCACTGGACGTGATTTTAAGCCTAATAATAATTTTTATGAATTTTATACATTACATACATCTTGTTTCTTACGCTTTTAAATCACGTCGATTACCATTTGCGGTTCTGAAATGCTGAAGAATTTATCAAGAATTTATCGTTAGATAATATAACGGTCTAAGAGTATAAATTTCTCTTAAAGTTGGAATTAAAATAAAAAGAGATTAGATGCTGAATCGAATGCGCGTCCAAGTTGCGTGACGCCTTCTCGAAACCATTTGGCTTCGATTTGAAGAATGTCCAGTGAAAGGGAACTATGTTCAGATTGTAATCGCGGAGAACCACGTCGACTTTGTTGTTGACGGCAAGTTAACGTAATGAGCAACCACGCGAAGCGGTTTTGTTGAATCAGAATTTTACGTCACTCTTCGTGTCTTTTAATATTGACGAGATGTATAAACGTAATTTTAATTTAATTTACAGACTTAAAGACAATACTTTGTCGGTGCAATGACGACGCATACTTTTTTTAGTACATGTCGAGCTGTCGAACTGTTATAACTCGGAAGTATTACATAATTTTGACATTCAAAAATACTTCGCTAACGTAAAAACGACTCAGAAATTAAAAAATTCAGTATACAAATTATCTTTTGATTGCGGTATCACTATCTTAATGTTACTTACTAAAATAAATACCACACCATGGTTGGATCAAGACCGTTTGGCATGATTTCTATATGCTACTGTACGAAACTGGACATGAAAAGACATGACCAAGCAGGATACAATGCAGCTTGGACGCTAATTGCTTATCTGACAGCAGGATAAGACAGCAGGATCTTAAGTGATTGCTTTGTTCTTAGGTGGCTATGGCAGGAAATTACATCTTGTCAGTCGCCTGCATAATGCTCTCCAAAATCAAGAATAATGATGTGACCATTACCGTCAGTCAGGTAAATTATTTGATTGCGCTTTTAATACAATTTTTTAAATCTATTTTTTTCCACTTGTCGACGACAGAATTTTCAATTTGTAGTCACTGAGAATTTATACCTTCAGTCAAATCGCGCTCATATTATTAAATTACAATTTAATTACCATTTAAATATTTTTGTAAATAAAGCTTCTAACAATAAGACGTATTAAGTCACACACAAAATTTAATATTTAATTATTTAATAAAAGATTTAATTGCCGAGATACCTAAGACGTCTAGAGATTATGAGTTGCAATAAATTTTATCTCAAACTAGAGACACAATCGACAAATAAAGACAATACAAAGGAGACAATTGGAACATAATAGCACATTAAATAAAGCTAAGTTAAACGTTACGTCGCACTAATTTAGGTTGTCGCTGATTTGGTGCAAGGCGAATTCATGCAGCTTGGTTCCAAAGAAACAGAAAACGAGAGGTTCGCACATTATCTCACGAAGACATATCGAAAAACAGCGAGCTTAATTGCCAATTGCTTGAAAGCGGTGAGTCCGTAATCAGCAATTGCATGTACGAAGTCTGTCATTTCTTCGTTGTCCAAGACGTGTAAATAACTGTTAATTACTATCTTAGGTCGCCATTCTTTCCCAAGTCGATGACCACACGATAGAGATGGCCTTCCAATATGGCAGGAACGTTGGCTTGGCTTTCCAATTGGTGGACGATCTTCTGGATTTTGTGGCTTCTTCAACAGCCATGGGCAAGCCTACGGCCGCCGATCTTAGACTCGGTCTAGCCACAGCCCCGGTGCTCTTTGCTTGCGAACGGGTTAGTATATAATATAAAATTGTTCGGTAAACCGCGACACGAGAAATCTTTTCCTTATTAGTTGTACTACAATTTTTCTTTCTACTAGGCACGTTATACATGTTAGACATGTGGATAGATTTTTTTTTTCAACGTCCGTTTATGGACAAGATTCTTAATCGGTATCGTTACGTCGACTGTTGCAGTATCCAGAATTGAATGCAATGATTATGCGCCGTTTCCAAGAACCCGGAGACGTTGAGAAAGCTTTCGAATTGGTGCACAAGTCCAATGGTCTCGAGCAGACAAGATTCTTGGCGAAGAAACACTGCGTGGAGGCCAACAAGATCGCGCAGTCCTTGACTAAGAGTCCCTATCAGAAGGCTCTGATCCTTATGGCGGATCTGGTCATCAACCGCATGAAATAGCATCGCGAAGAACGAAGATTCAAAGGGCGAATGATCGATTTTATAAATATTTATGAGTTATTCCGGACGGGAACGGCTGGTATAATTCTTTTGAATTCAGCTATAAATCGAATGCAGGGGTTACAATCGAAGAAAGTGCTTTTTCGTGTTCAATATTATACCACTAGCCAGAATTATATATTGTTATAAATAATTTAATATATTTGAGAATTTTTTTTATAAAAATGTTTAATTAAATAAGAAAATTAATTTTAATTCATTATAATTCGTGGTGATGTAATATTGATACGCGATTGATGGCGTATAGCGTGAATGCGTATCACGTCGCATTACCGACCCTGAGTTCATACCTCATCCGAACGAAAAAAACGAAGAAGACACACTCCGTATTCGTTAAAGTGCTTCTATCTTTTTCAGAGGACTTTAACGATATGCGGGTTCAAGTTGTCTGGAAAAAATGCAAAAATTTTGCATTTTACAACAAAAGTGCCTAGGCATTACGTTTACTTGACCTGTGTGTATGAGGAAAAGATCACGTATTACCTGATTTTATAAATTGTTAGCCGATCATGTAAATAAAGTAATCTAGCATTAGTAACAATGTATTAGCATTGATAATTCTTTCCTGTTATGTCTCTTTTGTGCATGCATCACGCGACTCATGATACAATTGTATTGCTTGTCGGTTCTCCAAAATGAAAATAACGCACAAAGCCAAATTATCCTACCTTGAAAACGATTATTGTACTTAACGGCAATTATTGTATCACGATACGCCAGAGAAATTGCTTGCGTCAAAGGAGCCTTAATGAGAATTTATTGTAGCATGGCAAAAACAAACTGAAAATTGAAAAAACATACATATGTAAGTGACGTCAGACGTACAGAATTAACGTTACAGTAAGATATCTTCGGTCTATTACGGCCGATTAAATAATGTACAATCAATACATATTTTTGATAAAGTGAAGCGTAACTTCTATCGCAGAGTGAAATTGTAAAAATAAATAAGAATGCCAATACTAATTTTTATCGACAGTCCAATTTAAAGTTTTGCTAAAAGCGGCGCGAAGAATGCCAATGTTTGCCAAAGAAGACCACACAAGTCGGTCTTTCTTCCCTTCTCTCCGCCAAGCGGTTTAGCAAAAGTTAACTTTGGCCTGTCATGTAATTAATAAGGATTTATCTGCCTCTTTAAGTTTTAGAATTGTCATCGAAATTCACGGTGCGCAGAAAAATAAGTTTCTTCTTTATTTAGATATGTTGTCCAGTAAGAATCACTTTTGCCACATTTTGCTTAATAGGTGAACTGCTCAAAATATCAATATTTATACTGGATATGTAAGTATAAATATCTAGTGTACAATAATTTATATTTATGACGAGAATGTATATAATTGTTTAAAATGTTACGCAATACAATAGAACATTAACTAAGGAGCAATCATGTAATTATGATCAAATGTAGACTTATAATAGGCTAAGTGTATGATGCAAAGAAAGAGACCGCAACCGGGACTGCCGATCTCCTCCATAACGTTTTGCAATATTTATTTAAATCTCATGAGAAATGCGTTCTTTTACTCAAAAATATGTTTTACATTCAGAGGGACACAAGAATGTTTTACAATAATAACGAAAAAGCTATATGTCAAAGCATACACCGACGAATGCAACTTAAACATAAAATTTAAGTGATATGTATTCCACGTAAATTTTAATATTCTAACTGTTAAACATATATATTTATCTGGTTATTCTCTCACATGTTCAAAAATTGAAGTACATTTGTAATAGTTAGAAAATCAATTTAATTAAAAGTTCAGCTTTATCTTCAGTAGAACGTTTACTGCACAATGCAAAAATTCCAAAGAAAGCAGATTCGAATGTCTTTGAAGCGCGTGTCTACGACGTCCTTTCAAATTGTCTCGGTGTCTATATGTATAAGTTAGTTCAGACAAAAATAGTGACGTAAGTTCAAGCAAATTCGAAAAAATGCTAATTTACAACACTATATTTACCTGACGGAAATTACATTACAAAATCTCTACCATTTTGTAAACAAGTGCCTCATATATCAATTGAATGGAATTGTCGTCGATTTGATTTGGAAGATATTCTAACTTATTTGTTTAATTTTCTGTCATTCTCTTGAATCTATGTTTATGAGTTAATAAATTTCCTCATAGATTTCAACAGTGTTTACAGGGGCTTGAAAAATTATTATTAAACGACGAACAAATAGCTATATTATTTGAATCCGTATTGAAAAAATAAAGTGTACTACTAAGCTCTTTAGATTTTCAAATATACATTCATAGCTGGAACATGGTACAATATTATTCTCACATTATAATTATTATACTGTTGGTTGATTAACTACTTTATCGTAAAACCTTAAGCTAAATATAAGTTCAATTATTGTGTTGGGGATCATTAAATTCGACTATATAAGTTTTTTAAATATAATATATAAAATTATAAAATATATCTTTTTGAACATGTATACACAAGTTGTTTTAAAATTTAATATATTTTCCCGATTCACAACGAATGTAATATTCTTCGACCAATTACATTCAATATTTATTTATAAGATAAAGTGAATTTTAAAATAAAGGTGCAATGCCATTTAAAAATCAATTTTATAAAAATATTTCAAATTTTACTGTGACTCCTAATATATTTTCTTATATAAAATTAGGAAGTGAAATGTTTCGTATCTGTAACATATAAAATATTAATTTTCTGATGACTCTTTATCTTGACATTTTAAATACAAAAAATAATAAGAATAACGTTAAAAAAATTACAATCTGCATTGTATGTGTATTATTTTTAAAGCAACTGTGAAATATATAAGAAAATCATGATATAAATGATAAAAAGCTGATTGTATTCTTGAATCTGAGAACTTATGAGAAATGAATAAAATATAAAATTCAATTCCTAATTTTTTCACTTTAAAAATTTTTTTGTTTTTCGACAAAAATTATTGTAAAGTCAATTTGATTATAGTGTTATTTCGCGTTGAAACCGAATTTCGAGAACCGACTGACATATTTACAGATTACCGATTAACAGTATTTTAAAATAAATACTGTTTCGCACGCGCATGGAACCCGTCTACTGGCGCCTTTTTGTGCACATAATATGCACATAGAACTATAATATGTTACGGATATTTCCGGTGAGTAACACAGTCTTCGACTTCCGTGTCATGTAGGTCATATACGTCATGTATATTGTTGGGTTCTATTCCATGCTATATGTATATGTATGTACAACATACAAAATATAACTGTGTAATAATAATAATAAAATTATCTTGGATATTTCTTGATGAAAGCCTAAAAGCATAAATCTTATCAAATACAATTTTATGTGGGCTCTTCTTTCTTAACTTATGATATTATATTATTTTATTTAAATCTTAAAAAATAATATTGGTAAGAAAACCGTAAACAATTTTTCAAAAAATGAAATAAATAAATATGAAGTTGCATAACTGAAATCGTATTTCTGTAATGTTGATTAAGGACTATTAAAATAAGATAAATTGATTGCATTGCACTGATATAATATATATAAGTAGTATATATATACTACATCAATGCAATGCAATTACAATATATAACTTATTCAATTATATAATCTTTTTCATAAATAAATGCATGTTTTAATTTATATATTTTATCAGGGTGGGTACTCAAATTTTAAGAAGAATATTTCTCAATACAGTTTTAAAATAAATTAGTCACTAAGAGTTTTAATAACGTCTAGAATTTGATGCGTGAAACAATTTAATCTTCTCATGTGTACAATAATTACATCTCCATACAAATTTTTTCGAACGTAACGAAAGATTTTGTTATATGGAGATGTAACTACATATATGAAGATTAAATTGTTTCACGCACCAAGTTCTGCGTTATTAGACTCTTAATGTCTGATTTATTATTTCCGTTCATCATCGTTTTTTAGATTAAATACATATAGTATATGTCATTTTTTAAATAAATTAACTTTCACTATCAGGGACCTTCGATATGGAGCCACGTCGCCAAAAATCCATGAGAATCCATGATTTTCAAGGATAAAAATGAAATTCCCTGAAAATTCCAGGTTTTTCCCGGTTTTTCCTGGTAGTACCCACTTTGTTTATGCTATCTTTTTTGCTAAGTGCCAGATATACAGATTATACATTTTAAGATAGTTAGGCTGATAAGCAGAGGAGCGTTTGGTAAAATATTTTTAAGTAATAATAATTAATAAATTATAAAAATTAAAAATTGGAATAATTTGAGCCTAAAGAAGTTATTAATAGCGAAAAAAGGCAAATATTTTTTATTTTGACAATGTTTCTAGACTAAAATAAAAAAAAACGCAATTGGAAAAATCAAATATAATGCTATTCTTTAGACTTTTATTACAGAAAGATGTACGAGCAGGCTGTTCCGTTTTTTTTTTTTTTTTTTTATAGAATAGGTATAATACGATAGAAATCTTGAAATTTAATACAATATATTTCAATTTAAGGATTCAAAATTAAATGAGAACGAATCAACCTGCTGAGATCCTCCAATCTGTAAGACGCCGATTATAATCGACGGTCCTCTTTTATTTATATAAATGTGCTTGTATTATAATACAATATAAGCACAAGTACATGGTAATATTATATAATATTATATGAAATATAACACAATACAATAAAAACGATAATACATAATATGACACAACACACAAAATATGAAAAAAATTATAAAATATATTACATCAAATTGTTTAATTATACATTTCAACTTTAATTTTTTAGGCTGTTTTGTTTTAATTAAATATAATTATGATAGAAATTTTGAAATTTATTTTCTTATACAAACCATATATTTTTAATTTGAGAATTCAAAAAAATTCAATAAAAGCGAATCAACCTCTAGAGGCCCTCCACCACCCCCGCCGGTTATAATCAGCGGTCCTCTTTTTAAATGTGTTTATATTATATTATTTAATACAATATAAGCACAGTGCTAATATTATTTTATATTATTTATGAACAATTATAGAATATAATTAAAAATATTAATACATAATACAATATACGA